TATTACACTTGAAGTGGACTTTGTTCCATATTATCACATTTATAGGCTCATCATAGATCTGGATGAGGAGAATCTCAATCATAACTCTTGTTTTTCTGTGGGGTTTGGTGGTCATGAGAGAATATATGGTACTAGGCACGGTTCCATACCAGGTGCTTTCACTAGAAACTTAGGAGTTGGGATACTTAGGGTAGCTCGTCACCCTGACCGTCTCCTGCACCCCCTCCCCCAAAGAGAAGACTTTAACAAACTTTGAAAGTGAACCAGAGTGATATTAAATAAGAAAAAGTGAAGGCATGAAGGGCAGAGCAGAACTTTCCATGCCTTTCTCCTGGATGTTACTTTAGGGCCTGTGGCAGGTGCTGACGGAAGGAGTCTTCTCAGTGAACATGCACGGTTAGTGGGATGGCTATTTGTGGACTGAGAAGGGTGGGGGAGGCCAGCAGAGAAGAGGCCACTGTAGGGGAGGTGAGGCAGGCCAGGCATTTCTCCTGACAGGTGCCCCTCCCTGGGGCAGAGTGTTAACTGTGGCCTCCGCACGTTAGTCATACTGTACTTGGGCAACTCTCCCGCCCTCTCATCATTTGTTTACTTGGTTATGTCTTCATCACACTGTGAGCCGGGCCCCCAGTATATAGCGTCTTTGTCTTCTCTGTATGTGCCCCAGGGTACATGCAAGGTGTTCAGGAAATGTTTGTTGCGGAAAAGTGCCTCCAAGATTGCAGTCAACCTTTCTGTGTAGAGGCCGACTAAACTGCTCGGTTACCCTGTCAGCTTTTCAATGTCGGATCCCTTTATTCCCACTTAATGACACTTCATAACCATGCTACAAATATATATGTATATATACACATATACGTGTGTGTCTGTATGTCTGTGTGTGTGTGTGTGTGTGTATCCAAATCTTAACATTCTTGAGGAAATTTGATGAAAACTGTTTAGTTAATCACATTGATTCGAGGTCTTCTGACCAACTTGTTATAAAGATCTTTTTTTTTAAATTTTATTTTTTATAAACATATATTTTTTCCCCCAGGGGTACAGGTCTGTGAATCGCCAGGTTTACACACTTCACCGCACTCACCATAGCACATACCCTCCCCAATGTCTGTTATAAAGATCTTATACATTGTAATGCATACTGAAAAGTACTGAAAAACTGTCCCTTACACAAACAGCATGGTACAAACAATATACAATTGGAAAAGAGAAAGACATAGTCCTATCCTGTCCTATCCTGTCATCAGATCATGTTCCCATTTGCTTTCCAATTCATTTATATGGTTTTCGTAGTTTCTTCATTGTCATCGTAGGCTAGATAAGATTGTGTGCTTTTTCATTGGTTATTATATCATTATTCTCCTTGTTGCCGGACAGACTTGTAATTTTAAACGATAGCCTGCTATACCAATTCGGTCGATCTGCTGTAATTCAGGAGCCCTCTCTTGTTGGACATTGATGGTTTCCAACCTTTGTTATCATGACTTGGCGTCCAGTGAAGTGCCTCACCTCCCAGTCAGCCACGGGAGTCTGACCTCCAGTCTCATCTTCCCACGGAAACAGCTCCGGCCACGACGAGCACTGGTTCTCTTCTTGGGGAGCATCTTCTGTTCTTACCTTAACTGACCTCCTCATTGGTGCCTGCTGTTGGCTAGTCTCCCCTGCTTGAAATTCACTCTTCCTTTGACTTTGTGGATACTGCTCTAGAGAGGTTTTTCTTCCTTTTCCTCTTTGGTCTCTGCTCAGGGGATTTGAGCTTGCCCCCTAATATTGGCATTTCCAGAGATGGGTCCTATCTTTTTTTTTGCCTGTCATAATAAAAGTTATTATGAAAATAGGCTGCATGGGTCCTATCTTTAATTCCCTGCTGCTTCCATCTACGTAGTGTCTCTGAATAGTCTCACTTCCTCTCCCGACTTCAGCTTTCTTGATACACTGACAATTCTCAGATCTCTTCCTCCACCCCAGAGCTCTCTACCCAAGGACTCATCAGTGACTAGTGCATAGCACTCCACCTGCATGCCCCACAGCCTTTGAAACTCAGTCAGTCCTTAATTAAACTCACCATCTTTCCTCAGGCCCCTCCCAAGATCTGCTCCCACTCCTGCATTCTCCACTAGAGATACCGTCATCTACTCAGTTAAACCAGAAACCTGAGAGTCACCTTAGACTCACTTCCCTCTTCCTTACATCGTTTGTAATCAGGCAGTCAACCAGCCTGCTGATTACACTCCCTTAATTTCTGAGAAGTGGCTCCTTTTGGTCTAACACTGCCCGATAGCCATGTCATCTCTCACCTGCCTTCCCACAAAAAAATGCGTTTTTTTGCTGGTCTTTTCATGCTTACTGACACCCCTCACCCCACTCCCGCCTGCCACATTCATTTTCCTCCAGAAGCTGACAGAGTGATCTTTATAAAATGCCAGTCTAATCCCACTTCTACGGTGTTCGCAGGACAATACAGCCACTGCCTGCCTGGGCAACCTCACTTCCTGGCCCTGAAGAGCGAGTCTGTGTCCCTTCGTTCCTTGTTTCTCCATTTGTATTTATTCCCTTCACCTGGAAAGCTTTCCCCCTCCTTTCTGTTTCAAAAACTCATTCCTGTAACCGACCCCACGTCTGGAAAGCCTTCCCTGAACCCCATCTGGGTGAAGAACCCCTCCCCAAAGTCCCCTGAGTTTTCCAGAAATCCCAGCACTTAAAGATTTTTATTACTTACTGAGTGTCTGCTGTAATGGACTAAGATCCCCGGAGTGGGAGCCTAAGCCTTTTATCAGGCTTAGGTTTCGCTTGATAGAAGCGGTTCAGTGATTGTTTGATAGCATTTCTTTGGAGAAACAAATTCTGGGAGTGGGGTTGAAATATGCAACCCACATGTGAAAAATATGTACTGTTAATTCCTTCTCCACAAAGTTTATTTATAACTGCCACCAGCAATGCTAATGTACTAACTGAACCATGTTTTCCAACAACTTTTTATTGTTAATCTGTGGCAGGCAGTGTGGCAGAAGAAGAGTATTTCCAGTATAAGACTAGTTTAGTATTTGGAGCAGTGTAGTCCAATAGAGCTTTGTGCAGTGGTAGAAACACTCTATGTCTGTGCTGTCCAGGAGGGTAGCCATTAGCTGCAGGTAGCTACTGAGCACTGAAAATGTGATTAATGTGACTAAGAAACTGAAATTGTCATTTCCTTTAATTTTAGTTAATTTAAATTGAAATGTATTAAATACCTACACGTGGGAAGTGGTTATACTGGACAGTGCATCTCTAGAGAGAAAAAGGAAATCATTCAGCAGATGTTAGTGCTACAATCTGGATTCCTTTCTTCCTTTTTAAATGCTAATGAAAGCTCACATCACTAAGGTGTGACCAGTTCACAAAGGCTATCAGTGTTATTGTTTGACAGCACTACCTAATTTGGGAAACATTTTTAAAACCGGTGCTTAGATCAGGAGAGTAACACCTTACATCAGGAATACTACCCAAACATCTAGGTCTGGAGGCTTGAAGGGATGTGGGAAATGTTACTCACAGTGCTTTTTATCCAGAGGCATACACTTAGCTATCTCAAAGTAGTCCAGAAGCCTAACACTTTCAGAGCGGCATCTGTTGGACTTGTTTTTCCACATAAACTGCCAAGCTTGTTTTGATTAGGCAGGAAGTGAAGCAATTTTTCAGGGAGAGAGCCCAGCATCTGCATCTCGTCAGCGGGTTAGACCAGACCTTTTACCTCTTACCTTCTACTTGTGAGCCTAGGCGGAGTTTTGCTTTAAGGGAAAGCAATTTTAAGGGAAGAGCAGGGTGGTTCCCTTAGATTTCAAACCCCAAATTATTTATATTATATGTATATATAATATATATATTATATACATATAATATAAATATATAATATACATATAATATAAATAAATAAATATATATATATATATATATTAAAAAGATGTTATTTATTTGACAGAGAGAGAGAGTACACAAGCGGGGGTGGGGGTGGGAGAGGGAGAAGCGGGCTTCCCATGGGGCAGGGAGCCGGATCTCAGGACCCTGAGATCATGACCTGAGCAGAAGACAGACGCTTAACATCTGAGCCACCCAGGCGCCCCCCAAATTATATTTTTTAATCAGTATACCTGTTTTGAGTCTCCGAATAATTTACATGCCCCTAAAGTAAGGAAACTTTTACTTCTCTTATGCAGTTCTTTGTACATAGGCCTCTAAAACGAGTAAACGTACTGAGTCGAATTAAGTAGTAAATCCCACTGGATAAACATTTGTGACCTACAGTTGCCTTTTAAAAGCTGAGGATGAGAGGTGTTCGTCTTTTTATTGGAGTTGTTGGAAATGTGTCAAAGAGATAACCTCGAGTATTTCTTCCTCTAAGTCATGTTTTATTTAACACGAACATCCCAACACCCTCGGAATTCGGGTCATCAGGTGCTGAGCTGAGAAATGTGGGGTACAGTGCCGTGTACGTGTTGGCTGGCTGGGCAGGCCTCTAGGCAGGGCAGAAACCTTTGGGGTTTCCCCTCTTCTTCCTCTCGGAAGAGAGCTAAAGAGGCGCCGCAAACCTCTCCAAAAGTGTTTCTACCGGATGCACGAGCGACCTCAAAGGCAGAGCCTCGGGACAGGCAGGCCGTCCGCAAGCTGCCTGCGGCTGGCCCAGCGCTTCCCCGCGCGCGCCCGGAGCCGGAGCCCGACCGGCCGGCCTAGTGCGCGCCGCGGAGCGAACCATCGCGCCTCCTGGGGCGGGGGGCAGGGCGTGGGGGCCGCGGGCCGCTCGCACCTCGGGGTCCCCCTGCCGCCGCCGCCGCCGGCCCCTCCCGTCCCTGCCGGAAGTCGCCTGTGAAGCGGCCGGTCGCGGGGGCGTCGGGGATTGGCCCTGCGAGCCCTCCCCGCACCCCCCGGCCGCGCGGGGGTGGTAGCGGCCCGTTTGAGAGTTTCCCGGGTCCGGCGGCCGGCGCAGAGGCGCGGCGCTGAGCTGCGGCGGGGGGCCGGCGGCGGGCGGCGGGAGGAGGGACAAAGGGTGCGCCCCGCGGGCCGGTAGTCCCGCAGCCCGGGCTTGGGGTCCGAGGACGGATCGTCTGCGCGGACAACGCGGAGGAGCGGAGCCCAGGCGGGACTTGCGCCCGAGATGCCGGTGCGAGGAGATCGCGGCTTTCCACCGCGGCGGGAGCTGTCAGGTTGGCTCCGTGTAAGTGCCCTCTCGAGTCCGCCGGGTTGGGAGAAAGGTCTCGGGGAGTGAGCGTGGGAGCGCGTGGTGGGCTTCCCGGCGCGCGCTAGGTAGCTGCTACCCTCCCACCTGAAGCTGAGGCCGAGGGCAGGGGGTAGATTTCAGCCCACCGGGTGGCGGCTCATGGCCTCCGAGGCTCCTGGATCCTTTTCTCTCTCTGAAGTCGCTCGGTTTCCGATTAAGCCTCCAGGAGGGTAGGGGAAACTCTTGAACTCCGTCCGGGATCTCTGCCACCTTGAAGGCATCTCGTCCTGCCTGTTATGGAGCTGCTGCGTGCCTTTGTGTTTTCCTTCTGTTGGAAACCACAGACTCTGCTTGATGCAAAGTTACAGGCATGTGTGTGTGAGACAACTCTGACAACTTTTTGGAGACCGGGAGCCTCATTTCCCCCTTTTGATTAGCTGCCTCTGATTAAATGCAAGTAAAAGTTGTTTTCGGTAGGAACTGAAGATGGGGTTTTGGAGGGAGCCACAAAAAGGGAGTGATGAATGCCTTCTCCTCTAGTATTATCTTACCTGTCACCATTCCTTTTCTTTTATGTCTTCATTTGTCAAGTTTCTGCTTTTACACAGTAGTTTAAGTTATAAATAACCAGGGTTTGACTGCAGGGTTTTAACATTCTTGAAATGTGGCCGAACTTGGGAGTGGATACTCCAGGGCTTAGTAAGGCAGCACAGCCTCCCACCTCTATTTTAGCTTCGGTTCTTAGGCAGCGCTGCTTCCCTGGCGGCTGTCTGGTCTAATAATGGATGTGGTTTCCCTGCGGTTCCCAGCCGAGACTGAGCCCATCACAGAAACTGCCCTGTGACTCCGCACGCCCTCCCTTAGCTTGGGGAATCCTAGTAGAGGGGAAAGAGGGCCTTTGCTTCACATCTTCTGGTGGTCTGTGCTGGGTGTGCGGACAGTCATTTGGGAGAAACCAGCCCCGCGTTGTCAGAATCATTCCTGGGAGGGACAGTGTGGGTGTGTGAGTGGTGGTGGTGGTGGGGGGGCATCACCCACACCTGAGGAGGAGATGTTTTAAGTGAGTAGGAGTAGTTGCATTTTAGCATTTAATATCCTGCTCGGGCAGTAGGGGTGTTTGAGAGCGTGTCTCTGTTACACTGTCTTGTAGGGAAAGCATGCACGTAATTAAGAATGATGAGTTCCGGTTAGAAATAAGAATGGGATGCTAAGGCTTCTCCTCACCCGGGAGGTGAGAGAAGGGGTGCTTCACTCAGGCAACCGTGGCTTTTGAGGTGTTTCTTGAACTTTTTCAGAGCTGCTCCCAGAGACTGATGGAGGGGGATTTCTTTCCTTGCAGTGGCTGCTGCCACTTCTCACGACCACACAGCTAATAACCAGCACCTGCCTACCTGGGGCGGTCTCTGTGAGGGGTACAATATGAGCAAGACTCAGTGTCTGCCTTCAGGAGTCTGTCCGAGCTGAACATTTCAGACTGTTGAGACTGTGGACTCTGCTGGGATACCGTGGCTGGGGGCGCGGTGGGGGTGTGGCAACACAGAGGCGAACTGTGCAGTATGGAAACACGGGCACGATGGGACTACCTTACACGTGCTCCCTTTAGAGATCTTTCTGGGAAGAAAGGGCCGCATTTGAACAGGTACCTCACAGCGCAAGCCAGTAAAGAAGATGGGCGAATGACACAGCCACCTCATAGAGTTGAGTGAGGATTGCGTGAAATGTTGTTAGGGTGTTGGGCATGTGTGGGTGCCGGGTCATAAGAACCAAGGCAGGTGCTGAAAGCTCCAAGTGCTGGGAGGAAGGATCTAGAAGTACAGGTAGGAGGTACCATGTAGGTGACTAGGCAGGAGCCGAAGGGAACAAAAAGAGTTGCTCACACTCTTGAAAGGCCTTGAATGCCAGTAAGTGAACTTGGGGGGGGGGTTACTTGGAGGGAGTGGAGTCCTAAAATCCCAAATGTATTAGTGACTTGACTTTCCCTGCAAATAAGTGAACCAGTTTCCCAGTAAACACTTCACCCCACCCCCTAAACAGGGAATATTACTATTTTTGAGGCACAAAAATGCCTAAGACCGATGAATTCTAACCTCATCGGCCTGGGGAATTCCATTTGCAAGGACTTCTGCCTACATTTGTTTAACTTTTGATCTAATTCTTTGTACACTGACAAAAGGTTACAGCCAGCCATTCTTCTTTTGCAGAAGTCCTGGGAATGCAAGGGAGATGTAAAAATCCCTGCAGTGGAGTTTAGAAAGGGGTTCTCTTCTGAAGTTACTCTTTTTTAAGAGACAGGTGAGTTCTTGAAACTAGGTGGGGCCACTTGAGTCTTGTGGACAGTATTACATTCCATAGTTGACAAAGTCATGCAGATTTGGGCGGGGAGTTGGTGGCGGGGGGGGGGGGGGGGGGGGGGTTAAGAGGAAGCATTAGTAATCACAGCTGAAACTTTCAACATAACTCTTACCAAGATGAGCCATCAGGGAATTCCTTGCCTAATCTCTAAAACAAATCCCATTAAGGAGTTGTGGCTACAGATTAATTTATCTAGGTTGAAAGTGGGCTTCCTATGAAATGCCTCATTGATTAGAGTCCGAGCAGTAATGGGGGGCCAACAATTGTTGGCCAGATGGCCTTGGACTAGCCAGCTTTGGTGCTGAAAGGCATTTTCCACTGACGATGATTTGGGGTATAGGAGGGTGTGACTGATGCGCATGTGTGTGGGGAATCCAGTTGAGGGACAGAATGATTATCTCAGATGTTTTACTGGGCTAGTTTCTTGCTCCTAAATCCAAGGATTGGGATCAAAAACATAGACTCAAGAGGTCAGATTTAACACCTATTTAGGGGGTTAAAAACTCCAGAGTTTTTGTGAACTTTTTGAGGTTAAGAAAGAAATCTTACCTTAAACTATTTATGGCCTAGTTCACCCCAAAGGAATTTTTACGATGACTCTTGTTAGCAGAAGCTGATATCGCTACCAAATTTATGAGGGTCTAAGGTGGTACTACCATTAAAAAATTTTTTAAATACCATGCAACAGCAGTGGAAAGAAATTTTCAGGCACTCAGTCCTAACATTAAGTACTGTCAGTCACTAGTTCCAGGTTTGAAGGGTATCTGGGAAATACATAACAGCGGGCTAACCTGGTACACCGCCTACACCACGGACAGCATTCCATACAAGGCAGAGCTTGGAGTTGCTAAGTGTCTGCTTTCACTCTTTCAGCTTAATTAGGAAATGCACCTAACTTGGCCTCTCTCTTCTAGAGCCCAGGCAGGCCAGCGAGGCCTTCCCATGACAGTGATGGTTTCATTCTATTTTTAAAGGGTCTAGAACCTCTGTCATCTGGCCATCCACTGCACCAGTTTCATCAGCCTTGATAACCTGTGAGCTCAGAAAAGAGACTAAAGACTGTCCTATTGAAAAAAATACCTGATATGCTGATTAAGCATTTTTCTGCCTCCCCCCTTTTTTTGCTGTTCCTTAAAGAGTGTTTTCTAAAGTGTGCTACAAAGACAGACTTAAAGGTGGCACATTATTTTTCAGTTATTTTGCATGAATATTGTGCTCCAGGGATAAATATAAAGACGGCTACCGAATTCACTTATTTCATGGATAGGTTGTTTAGAATGAGGCATGATTAGTATTAAGTAAAAGAAAGAGTCTGATGTAAGAGAAATAAATTCTGGGGTTAAGTCATAGAAGAATAAGGCAAAAACTGTGAACACGGCCCTTGAAATCTGCACCTTGGTAGTACTTTTAAAATGTGAGTGTGATGTTTAGTTATGGAGAGCTGCGTATACCTTGACCACACCTTCAGGAATGCCAGACAAAGTCTGCCGGTGTGACACCTGTGATGGGATGGACTGAAAATGGAGGCAGTGCTGCAGCACTGCGGGGGACATCACTGTGCTCTGGAGCACAGCTTGCTCTCCTAATCTAGCACTGCTGGAGAAGGCAGAGAACCAAAGAGCCTCACATGTAAATGCACCTTATTTTTTATTATTTTTTAAAGGTTTAATTTTTTAAGTTATGTCTACACCCAACGTGGGCTTGAACTCACAACCCCGAGATCAAGAGTCGCACGCTGTAGCGACTGAGCCAGGAAGGCACCCCAAAATGCATTTAATTTTTTAAAAATGTAGCTTATGTTGGTCTGTAAAGTAGGCTTTAGCTAGGATTGTAGTAGGAATGGGAAGTCTTGAGGTTTAAAAAAAAAAAAAAAGGGGCGCCTGGGTGGCTCAGTGGGTTAAGCCGCTGCCTTCGGCTCAGGGCATGATCTCAAAGTCCTGGGATCGAGTCCCGCATCGGGCTCTCTGCTGAGCGGGGAGCCTGCTTCCTCCTCTCTCTCTGCCTGCCTCTCTGCCTGCTTGTGATTTCTGTCTGTCAAGCAAATAAATAAAATCTTTAAAAAAAAAAAAAAAGTAACCCTGCGGTGACCTAGAAAAATGAGTAATTGGAAGTTCATAGTCATGGTAGGTAAATAAAACCAGAATAGAAAATACTTTGTTTCAGTCACCAAAATCCTTAATCGTGTGTGTGTGTGTGTGTGTGTGCGCGTGCGTGCGTGCATGTGCGCGCACACCTTCTATGTGAAATCCTAAACCTTCAATTAGTAACTTGTACTTTAGTCATTTTAAGTCCACGCAGATATTTGTTTAGTGCTTCTGCCAGATGGATACAGATAAATCAGGTCTTTAACCTTAAAAACATAATGCAGTGTTTCTCAATCATTTATACACCTTGTAATTTTTTTTTTTTTTTTTTTTTTTAAGTAAGCTCTCTCCCACAACGTGGGACTTGAGCTCAGGACCCCAAGATCAGTAGTTACATGCCTACCCACTGAGCCAACCGGGTGCCTCCACACCTTGTATATTTCAGACCACAGCAATATGCATTTTTGTAATAACATTTATTTTAACTTTCAGCCTGATGTTTAGCCTAATTAAAATATTCATGGCTTATAGTTTCTGTTTCTATTTGTCTTCTCTCAACAT